GGCGGCACTCGCGGGGGTCGCGGTCACAGCCGTGTCCACAGACGGACGCAGCCCCCAGGTTCGCAGCCGCCGTTCGCAAACGCGCTCCCGCAGGGCGCACCCCGGCCGCTGCCCAGCTCCGGCAGCCGTGGGGATCCCCTAGTCCGGGTACCCATTCCCCTGCACCTTCCCTCCCCAAATCCGTCGGCTTTGTCACTCCCTTTCCCCACTCCACCCAACCCACTCAATTAAGGGCGGTGGCGGGAGCGGGGCTGCAAGAGGCGGCGGCTGAGGGCTCCCCGCCCGCTTCCTTCCCTGCACAAGGTGAAAGAACACGAAAAAAGGTGAAAACACAGAAAGAGCCCCAAAAAGAGCCGCTTCCCGAGGTTTGGCTTTATTTATCCCTGCGTATCCTTGTGCCTTACAGCCCCGGGCAGGCTGGACGAGCCGGTGCCCGGCGGGACAGCGCCGGTGTTGGCTCGGCGGGCTGGGGGGTGCCAGGGGGTGCTGGGGTCCCAGTGCCCGCGGCGGGGGGCGCGGGGAGCCGCAGGTGCTGCTGGCGGGAGAGACCCGCAATGGCTGTTTGGGTGTTGCATTAAAGCACGCTGCAGTGCGCACACTGCGGCCCCTCCCCCCACAATCTGCCTGTATGCTAATGACATGCAAAGAGACTCATTTGCATGTTTATCTCTGTCAATGGGCAAGCGTGGCGGGCGCGGTAATACGTTTCCCACCGTGGCGTGGAGGCCTCCCCCCCCCGCGCCCCTCACCGCCCCGCCGGGCCGGGGAGGGTCGGGCAGGGCTCTGCTCCGGACCCACCGCCCAGCCCTGGCACCAAGGCAGGTACTGCCACAAAATGGCTGCTGCCGGGGGGGCCTGCAGCCTCCCGAGCACCCACCTCTGCCCCCCAGCAGTCCCCGGCCCCTCCGCGCCCCCACCCCGCAAACCCACCTCCGGATTTTGTGCTTAAGCAGCCAATCGGGGGCGCGGTACCCTTCCCCCCTCCGTCCCTCCTTTCTCCCTTCATCCTTCCTTTCTCCCTCCATCCCTCCTTTTCCATCCTCCATTCCTCCTTCTTCCCCTCCATCCCTCATTTTCCACCCTGCATTCCTCCTTCTCCCACTCTATATTCTTCCTTCTCTCGCCTCCATCCATTTCTTTATCCCACCTCTATCCCTCCTTTTACACCCATCATCCCTCCTTTTCTACCCTTCATCCCTCCTTTTTCACCGTCCATTTCTTTTCCACCCTTTATCCCTCCTTCTCCCCCTCCATCCTTCCATCTTTCCTTCTCCCCTTCCTTCCCTCTATCCTCTCCTTCAACTCTCCATTCCTTTTTCACCTCCATCCCTCCTTTCCCCCCCCACTTTGTCCCGCTTTCCCCAAACCCAGACCCCAATCTTCACTGTTTCCACGCACGGGGATATTTTTAATTTCCCACCAACCGGGGGAAAATCTTTTCCATCCTTCCAAGGGGTTCCGACTCTCGCCCGGGTGCTGAGCCCCCGGCAATTTGTGACCTCTGTGGGTCGGCCGGCACCGTGAGAAGTCCGCGGTGGGTGCAGAGCCGCGGGTGGGTGCCCCGAGGGTCTCGCCCCTGGTTCCTCTGCTGAGGGGGGCGAGAGGTGTCCCCAGGCACGGGTGGGGAAAGCAGCCGTGCGTACATTCACGCGTGCGGGCCCACGGAAAGGACGGACACTGGAGGCACTGGTGCGAGTGTGGGTTTTGAAATAGCCACCAAAAAAAAAAAAAAAAGAAAGAAAAACAGCGCGGCCTCTCCCACGGCGCCGGGGTGCGCCCACGCCGCTATTTTCAAAGACGCACGTGAGAGAGAAGGGATGTTTTGCCGAGCGGGGAGCGCTCTGTCCCCGCTCTCCGAGCGAGGATGCGGCCACCCCAGCGCACCCTCGGCGGGGACGCGGCACAGCGCGACCTTCCCGCACCCCGCGGGGCGCTGGGACCGGGGGCGACTCCCGGCTGCACTGCAATACAGCCTTGTATGCGCTCCATTCCGTACATAAATAAAGAGCACGTATGTCCTTATGTTCCGCTATCATTTATGGCGCCGTATTATACCACACGGTGCTGCGTGACGCGATGCGACGTGACAGCGCTCGGCCCTGGGCACGGCACGGCCCCGCCGGTGTCCCCGGGCCCGCCCCGAGGCGCCGGGGACGGGCGCTGCGCTGGCCTCGACGACGGCTTTCGGGGGATGCCCTCCTGTCTCCCCCACCCGTTATCCCTCCTCCTCCCTGTCCCTTCTCAGCCTCTTATCCCCTCCTTTCTTTTCTCGCTCTCCCAAACCTTGCTCACTTCCCCGGTGAAGGTGTGTTCGCTCCTTCCATCCGCTATCTCTATTTTAGCCCTGGCAGGTGGAGGGGCGTGTGTGTTTATCCTCCCCTCCTTCACACGAAATTGTCTTAGAAAAAAATTAAACCAGCCGAAAACCTAAATCTGCCCGAGGCCCCCAGACTCGCCCCGTCCCGACCAATTTATCCCAGCACTACCCAGCCGCAGGTAGGGGAAGGGGTTTATTTGTGGGCTCAGTCAGCACCTCCCTCGGTCGCGCTGTGGCCTCCCCTGCCCCCTATCCTCACACCTGCGCAGAGGGAGGTGTGACCCAGCTGGGATGGTGCCGCTGACCCTCGGCGAGGGCTTTGCCCCGAAGCCCCGTCCCGGAGGGCAGCGGGTCCGGGGGTGTCGGTGCTGGGGAGCCCGGGGGGTGCCGGCCCTCAAAGGCCCCCCAGCCCCGCGTTCCGCTCCCCGGGTGGGTGTTCCCCTCTCGAGGGGGGCGGAGAGAGGCAGGCCGGGGCAGAGGCAGGTTTGGGAAGGCCACCTCCCCTGGCTTTCCGACTGCCCCCGCCAGGCAGTGTCCCCGCCGCACCCCGGCCGGGGGTGGGTCCGCACGCCCGGGGGAGGTCGGCTCGGGGCTCCTCATCAGCGTGCCCCAGGCAGGGCTGGTTTTGCCAGGAGTATGTGGGAACCCTCTACAGAGAGACGCCCTCCCATCTCTCCCCGAAACCTGCTGTGTCATCACGCCCCGAAGCAGAGGCAGCCCCCCAAAAGCGAACGGGGGGGTGTGTTCCCTTACCTGAGCGCTAGCCCGGGGGAGCCACGCGGAGCGGGGGTTCTGTGTTCGGCTCGTGTTCTCCTGCCGTGTCCCGCAGCAGAAACTTCCTCCGGCCGGGGCCGGGGTCGGTGCGGGGGAGCCGGGCTGGGCCGGGGGGACCCCGCGGCCGGGGAGAGCCGCACACCCCGGGCCGTGTTTATATGTAGAAAGAAGGGTAATTTGAGTGCTTATACCAAGAACCGGGGTTGTTAAGTTTGCAGGCAGACAGCTAAACGGTGCCAAGTGCGGGCAGGGAGGGGGGTGCGGGGGGGAGGCTGGGGGTGTGTAAGAAATAAAGAGCAATTGTCAGAAGCGAACAAAAGGCGGAGGATGGAAAGGAGCTGGGAATCCCAGGGCAGAGCCCCTCGGCGTGGACTTGAACTTGGGCTTTGACACCGTCTGCCAGGCGGAGAGCGGCTTCGGGCCGGGCGAGGCGGGCTGCGGGGGGAGTGACAACAGCCCCGGCAACGCAGAGAGGGGGCATTACCCCCTCCAAACACCCACCTTGGACGCGGCGGGGGGGCACTCTGCTTCAGAATGCGACTGATCCGGGGAATAACCCAGACGGGCTGAGACCCGACGGGCTCAGCGCACCTCCCGGTGCAGAGCGGGGCGGCGGCGGGGGGACCCCGTCGGGGCTGGCCGGGGCCAGACGGTCGGGGGGGCCGCCCGGTTCTCACAGTCTGCGCCCGAGCCTGGATTCTCTGCACGTCCCGGCCGGTCCCCCCTTTGCTACTATTCAGCACTTAATTGAACATTAATGGCAGCTGGGGATGAGGTCATTGGAGCCGGCTTTTCTCACACATTTTTCATGCAAATCCGCTAAACTCTAAACAAATTTGAATAAAACCCCCTTTGTGCAGGCCCTCCATGGTGTTTTTCCACGGGCCGCTCCGCCTGTCTCCGCACACTTCATCCGGGGAGGGGGGAGCGGCGGGGAGATGAGGGGGTGTGGGGGGGTCTCTGCTCGGGCCTGGAGCTGCAGGCAAACCCAAAGAGGCTGCATCCTCTGCGAGGCTCTCAAGCCCAGATCGCCCCCAGGATGCCCACTGCACTAGCAGGGCCCTGCATTGTGCCCATCTCCACTTGCAGCCCCCCTACAGCACCAGTTCCCCCGGTAATATCCATTAGCAACAGCAGTTCCCCCTGAAACACCTCCATAGCACCAGTCTGCCCCCAGTAGCATCAGTTCTCCTCCAACTCACGCTAATCCCCCACAGCAATACCACCCCCCCAAGCACCATCAGCCCCCCAGCAACCCAAATTCCTCCCCGTACCACCGGTGTCCCCACCCAGCACCCCTCGCTGCACTTGGCAATCATTGCCTCTCTGTAAGGTGGTTTTTGGGTGCTCAGGGCTGCGCAGGGTAAGATCCCACAGCCCCCCCCCGCCCCCCTGCTCCGCAGCCCCCGCGCAGCCCCCATTAGCATCCCCGCGCCCGGCCCCCTGCCCAGCCTTGAACTTGGCCATGCCGGGCTGCGCTCCTTCTGCCTGCCTGGGCTCGCACAATGCCGGCCTTGACCCATTGTTTGCTTTTTTCGGATTTCAGCTGGGAAAGCGGCCACCTCGCGCAGCCTGCCCCGAGCACGCCGGGAGCGGGGCACAATGGGGAACCCTGCTCTGCAGGCAGAAGGGCTCCAAATCATTTGAGAGACATATTCATTATATTCTTTCACGGGGGTCTGTTTGCATTGGGTTTAGCGGTTACTTCCCAGACGGGGTTCAGACCAAATAAAGATCATTGAGCGGCGAGGGATTCGCTCGGGCTTTCAGGGAAATGTGCCTGATGCGGGGCACGGCGCAGCCCGGCTGCCTGGCTCTCGGCTGCTCCCCCTTCCCTCTTGATTTGCCTGGATTTATTTTGTGTCCATTGCCTCCTCCGTCTCAAGACTGCACCAAATCACACGCTCGCTTTTGCAAAAGAGAGAGTTTATTTTCAACAGTGCATGGGGTTGGGAGGATTTGAATGGGACAGAATTACAGGCAGTACATTTCTCTTACAGGAACAGAGAGGGTACAACAGCAGCAGGGCTGCCTGGCCTGGAAAAGCTCATGGTCCTCATGGGCCCAGCACAGTGCCTTTGGGAAGGCTGCACTCCCACAGCTCCAGAGACCCAGGGATCAAGAGCAGCAAGGACCAAGCTCTGCTCCATGAGCAAAGCCAAGGGCTAAAAACTCCCTCCAAACTTCGCACACCTGGTATTTCACCAGGTGAGACAGTGACTGGCTCAGGTCTCTCTGCCTAAGCACTTTGGTCCTGCTCTGGGGTATTGAGGGCACTGAAGACAACGTACAGGAGTGATGTGGGATCATCCCTTGGCTCCCTGTGTTGCCCTGGCTCCCTCCCCATGGCTGCACCGCTGTGTTTCAAAGTGATGCAGAAATCCACTGTGTTCACGAGACAAAGCTCTCTCCTCTCTGGGGCAGTGGAGAAGCAGGTTGGGACTCTCCTGGAGAAACTCAGAGCAGTCAGATGGCAAGTCCAGGCAGGTGGCAGTCAACTAGAAGAAGGAACTCACAGGCTTCAAAAGTTCCTTGTCCACTCACTGGGATCTAGGAAGGAAAGAAAGAAAATAGAGTGGTTATGATCTCTGTCAGAGAAATGGTCCAGCAGCGCTTGGCTGAGAACAGACCAACTTGTCTCTGGTGGAGCAGAACTCCAATCCTCTTTCCCTCCCCACCACACGTTTCTCATGGCTCTGGACCACCTTACCCTCTTCATTACTGGGAAAACTGTAGTCCCCAAGATGCCAAGCTTCCCCTGCACCCTCCTCAATCCCGTACCTCTGCCTGCCCCGCACACCGCCAGCCAGGGGAGGGCTCACGGCTTGTCCTTCCTCCCTAGGCTTTGGGGCATGGGATTACTCTGCATGTCAGAGCCACTAAAGGCACAGCCCTCTGATGTTTTAATCTTCGTGTTAACTTTCCCTGCCCTCGGCGCCCTTGCCTGACTGGAGAAAGTGATACCAAGCCACTGAGCTGGAGCCGAAGCTGTGACGCTCAGCCCAAGTCGCCTTCTCGGCTTTCCCCACGCCTCCCGTGCTTTGCCCCGCACATCTCGCACCTTGCAGCACGTTCTCCTCCCTTTCTCCTGACTTTTTTCATCTATTTCCTTTACACTTTACCCATGTTGAGTGTGTATTCCCTAGCCCCCAAACCAGTCCCATCCTTTCCCTATCTTCCCTTTGCTTTGCCCACAAACTGTTACATTGGAAGGAGTAAAGACTAATATAACAAATCCTTGAGTACACTTGCAAAAGGAACCATCAGCTGGCTAATTTATTCTTTTTATTGCACCAAATTGTAATTTTATAAAATATTGCAAATTTTATAAAATATTTGCAAGCCCATTTTAAGAGATAAATCTTCTGTGTGGCTCTCTAATGAGCCGCCCTGGGAGTAGCCAGCATGTGATCTGCTGTAGGTCGCACCGCGACGTTCCCAGGCTGTGACTGGATGAACCACCGTAACTCTTTGAACTGTGCAAATACTCTACACTCTGGGGTCCAGGCTGCAATTTTCATGGGTATTTTTTCTCTCTCTTAAAAATAGATCTTCTGTAACCCCTTTATTGCAATATTCATAAAGCACTTGATGGAAATCCAAGGAAAATCCCTTCCCTTCTGCAACTTTGAAGCAAGCCTAAAACTTAAGAGAGGCAGAGGCCAAGCCCACCCCATGTGCTTGGGTTTGGTGCTGAGAGGACAGACCCCATGCTGCATGTGTTTAGGGAGACTCAGGCTGCAAAAAGCCAAAGCTCAGCACTTCTTTATCCTATGTGAGATTAGGAGTCATCCTGAATGTTCCTCCAAGCCTGGAAAGGATGTTGAGGTCAGGACAGATCTGAGATCTGAATGATGGTGGGTGCTTTCTCAAGCCCAGGAGAGGAGGAGGCAGATGAATCCTTGTTCTCACCAGGGGAAAGCCTTTACTTGGTAGGTAAAGTCCCCTGTCCAGAGCAGGGACAGTCCTTGCCCTCTGCAGGGACAGGCTGAGCTTGCTTTGGCCTACAGAGAAACTCCTCTGTAGTGTGGATAGAGGGGATGCTCGTTGGTACCAGACATCACCCAGCCTGGAAATCACCCACTGCCTGCCTGGTGGGCTTGAAACTTCTGGCACTCAGTAACTGAGGGCAGGAGGGGCTGGACCAACCCAACTGACTCGACAAAAGCTTCAGGAAAACTCAGATTTCCTGCATGCACTTTCTCTCTGGGCAAAGTTCAGCCTTGCACTGAGGGTGCCTGCAAAAAAAGGGCTCCACCAGGACTCAGTTCCAGCCCCAACACTGCCTTCCCTCCCCAGTGCCCTGCACAGGGAAAACATCACTCTGTGTGTGGATTTACTGCCTTTTTTTTTTTTTTTTAAAGCTGAATAAACAATTGAAATTATAGCTCAGCCTCTGCCCCAACACTTGCTCCTGTGCCTCCTTGTGCCCTTACAAAGCCAGCACTGAGGTTTATATGCTGATAAACTGCCCTGCCACAGCAATTCTGGGCGGTGGGAAGAGAAAAAAAAACCCCTCAAATAATGGTAAATGGATGCAGAACGCTCTGCCTAATCAGATTCCTGTCCCCTATTGAGGCCAGGAAGGAGGGACCCCACTCCTCCCCTGCCCTCAGCCCAGCCTCCGCTTCACCGGCTCACACGGAGAAACTTTCTGGACAATTTAATCTCGACAGGGTGTTACTTAGAAAAACCTTTTTCACTGTCAATTTTTTTCCCCCCTCCCTTCCACCCCCCCCCCTTTTTTTTTTCTTCCCTCCCAGCCTTGATTGAATTTTGCAAGCCCCTGATATCTTTCTTTTTTGTAGGGATGCACGCTGCTTATGCAAATACCAGCCTTTCATACCAGCCTCCCTGGCTCAAGCCCTCCAACTTGAATGTGACCAAAAGCTGTGCTCTCCCCTGCTAACTCCTTAGCACAATTACACCTCCATTCTGCTCCAGGGGCCCGGGGAGGGGGAAAAAAAATCATTTTAAACTAATAACACGTGCTGTTTGCTTTGGATAATTACAAGGGAGCTTCGGCTTCTAAGAGCTATGAAATATTCTGTTCAGCGGGGCGGGAGGGAGGCTCCGTGTTCCGCCTACGCCGCGAGTTTTATCTCCTGACGGAGATGCTCGCGCGGCCTCTCGAGGCTCCCTCCATCTCGTGCTCATCCTCTGCACCTGGGCAAGCATTTACATTTCCTACGGAGCAACTTGGCGCTGCTTTGGGCTACAGGAGAGAGGAGAAGGCGCCTGACATTTTCCTTATCTCAAGTTACAATTTCCTGCAAGCATCAAGATAATAAAACATCGGAGATGGGCAAGATGAGCGAAATGAATGCGGCGGCTGAGGCTCCCGCAGCAGCGCGGGAAGGGCCGGGCAGAAAGGACACCCGGGGGATGCGGCTGCTCCGCTGGCTCTCGTTTGCATCGCGGCCCTGACGTTATTGTCCTCCTGCCTTGTCTGCTGGGGAAGTTTATGTGGAGGGCTTTTGCTGGGGCGAGGAGGAGGAGGGGAGTTTTCCCCAAAAGCACCCAGGAATCTGTCAAAAGAGGGACAGAAAAGAGAAGAAGAAGAAGAAGAAGGGAGACAGAGAGTGGGAACGTCAAGGACCCCTGACTAATGAATAGCAAGTTTGCCCTTGAACCTCCCTGGGCTTTGCCATTCCCAGGCTCCAAACAAGGGCTGATGCATGCTTGGGCCCAGCTGCAGGGGGACCGGGCTATGGTTCATCTCAGACACTTTGACAGCCCGGGCCTTTTCCCCACATAGCTCAGACTCGCCTAACTACTCCCCTGGCAACAGCTCAGTGCAGGAACCTGCGCTGAGGCCCTGCCTGCTGCATACAGAAGTACGAGGAGGAGGAGGGGAGCCGCTGGGAGAAATTAGCTAGAGACTGGCTTAACCCATCAAATGCTGGGCAGGCGTTGCCAGCCCCAGCACCCTTTGCTCAGCCCTAGCACCCTCCAGGCACCCCTGGGTGCTCACTGGCCAGTATCTGCAGTGGAGCTGGAGAGGGGCAGGGGTGGGTTAGACGTGCAGAATCGCCGTGCATCACAAATCCCACGACCTGCTGCTTCACCACGACCCAGTGCCTTGGACCTCGTGAGTGGGAAGGTCCTCATGGTGCCAGGGATGTGGGAGGGAGCCAAAGTAGCCAGCTGGAAAAGGCCACTGGACACTGAGAGGAAAGGACATGGCCTCTCCCCGGTGTGGTGGGACAGGGCATCCCTCCCTGCCAGCCAAAATGAGGGCAGGGGCTGGATGAGAGGCACAAACTTGCCCTGGATGCTCTTTCTGCATTGCAGATCAAAGGCTGAGGACGAGCTGGCCTTAGGGGTCTGCACTGAATGGCTGGAGAGAACAGGCACAAACACCCGGCGGCTCTAAAATGCGACCCAGAAACGTTCCCACATCCCAGCCCCATATAAATCAAGGGGGGAAAAAAGGGGGAGCTCCATCCCAGCCTCTGTTTTTACAGAGCATCTTTCATGTGCAGCCCCTGAGAGAGGGCTTTGCCGAGCTTGTTAAGGATGGCTCCTGCGCCAGGCAGAGAGGGGGACGCACCATATGGAGAGGAGAAAAAGAAAAGGGGACACTGAAAATGGAAAATTATGCAAAGCAGGAGGAGAGGCACTGGGGGAAAGGGGGGAGGGAGGCAGCAAGGAGGTGGGGGATGGGGAGACAGGAGGCTGGAAGTGAGCCCTGACTTGGGGAACACCATTAGCTGGCACTGGGGCTGCATAAGGAACAGAAGTTTCCTGTGACCAGGTGCAGGACAGCCCTTTGTACCCTTGGGTGCTGTCACTGGAGGGCATTTCTCCAGCCTAGCCTTCCCTGAGAGGGTCTGGGCTGTGCCAGGGCGATGCCCAGCTGGACTGTGGTGGGTGCACTCTGTTTCTGGAGCTGTGCTGCACTGGGAGACACAGCAAGATGGGGTCCGTGGTGACCTACTTCAGAGGTGTCCTGAGGACCTCTGTTACTATAGCAATGAGGGTGCAAGCAAACATTATGGCCTTTTGGACAAGAGTTTTGCTTGTCATCAATCACAAAAACCAGATTAATGCAAGGAGGTGCCAGGACATTGTAAGAAAAGGCTCTGATCAACAGCAATGATAGCAAGGGCCCAAACTGCCCTTGGGTCTCAGCTGCCCGTGCAGTGAAGGCAGATACTTGGGTGAGGGAAGGAAGAATCCAAATTCAGCTGCCAGAGCTCTTCCCTTCCCCTTGGACCCTGCAGAATCCTGCAGGTGCTGCAGGGTGAGCTGCAGGCCCAGTGCAGCTCAGGGATGCTGGGCAGGCATTCCTGTCCAGGCCTGTGTTACTGCCCAGCTTGTGCTCAAACTCCAGCATTGGCTTAACGTGGTGTTTGGAGAAATGACTCAGCTCTTCCCAACCCAGGTGTAGAGCTCCTTTTCCCCATCCTGGAAACACTGGCTACCTTTGGGGAAACACTCACCTTGTCACTGTGACAGCTTCTTTTTCCCAAAGCTACTCTGTGCTCCAAACTTGTGGCACTCTGCTGGCTCGCTGTCATGGGCCATGACCACCTCGCACATCCTCA